CGCTACCGCGTCTCCTGATTATTATCGTAGGTGGCAGCAGACTAGACCAGGGATTTTCGGAAGACAAAGCGATTTCATTTTTAATTACCAATGTATTACTACGCCGAGTGCTCACTCTGTTACTATAGCCCGTCTAGAGTTTCGGTGCTTCCTCTGTGCTTAACGTCTTCAACATATTTGTACGACTTTATACATATTTTCCACGTTTTTGGTTTCATATAATAAATAGTCTTGATATAATTGAGCCACGAGTGTCGTTGGAGATCCTGATTCTGTCCCTCCCGAACTACAAGTAACATTTGGCGACCGTGACAAGATTTGAGGTTAGACAGTAATTATGGATAAAGTAAACACGTACGGCTGTACGAGCAGCGTACACGCACTCTCACTACATTGAGTCAGTTGTCAGAGGAAGAGAGTGTCGACACAGTGGAATTACGATCGAGATTTGCGATTCTCAAGGACAAAACGTGTGAACTAGAGGAACTTGATCAACAGATACTTCACGCGATGCAGGATGCTGCAGACACATCGGAGAATGACATAATTAAAGAAATAGAGCATGCGGACGAATATCATATCAAATATCAAAGAATGAAGAGTAAATAACGTCCTAGAACCTCCTCCGCAGGCTAGACAGCAACAAGCATATGAAGCGAGGTGCCAATGAATCCACATACGCAAGATAAAAGATTCAAGTTGCCGAAAATAGAGTTGCAAAAGTTTAGTGGCGACTTAAAGGAATGGCTGCAGTTCTGGAGTCTGTTCAAGAACATACATAAAGACGGATCTATTACAAAGAAAGATAAGTTTCAATACCTCGTACAAGCCATGGTAAAGGATTCGAGAGCTAGTGAACTTGTCAATAGTTTCCCTCCAACAGCTGAAAATTATGATAAGGCGATTGACAGTCTCAAAGCCAGATTTGGTAAGAATGAATTGCTAATAGAACTGTATATTTGTGAGCTTCTCAAGGTAGTACTTAATAACACAGCAAAAGCGGAAAGTAAGATGCCCATAGGTAGCCTTTACGACAAACTCGAGACACATCTAAGAGCGCTCAAATCGTTAAATGTAACTACCGAGATGTGCGCTGCTATGTTATATCCATTAGTTGAGTCAGCGTTGCCTGAAGATTTGTTAAGAGCATGGCAGAAGCATTCTACGACATTAGGTACTATTGAAGCCAGAAATCGCCTAACCCAATTAATGAGTTTTTTGCAAACAGAGGTGGTAGCAGAGGTGAGAATAGCTATGGCTGTACATGGATTTGGTATTAGCAGTCTCCAAAGAAAATAAAGAAAAGAAAAGAAAACAAAAATTAGAAGGAAGCGAAATACCTTCAACAGCAGGCCTGATCAATGCCAAACCTCTACGAGTAATCGAATGTATTTTCTGTAATGAAAAACATGACAGCAGCCAATGCGATAAAGCGAAAATAATGTCACTGGAAGAGAGACAGCAAGTAATAAAGACAAAAAGCGCTTGTTTTAACTGCTTAAAAGTAGGTCACAGTTTTAAGAAATGCCATTACAAGGAAAAATGTCCCTGGTGCGGGAGACAACATGTGTTGTTGATGTGTCGCAACATAACCACAAATCCTAAGGCAAAGGAATCGAACGACTCAGAGGTTAAGAAAGAGAATAAAATAGAAGGACGAAATTTAGCGAGTCTTTCTAAGAATCCTGAGGTGTTCTTACAAACATTGCGAGTCTGTCTGGTGAACAATGGAGTGGAATTACAGGTACATGCTGTTATAGACACTGGCTCTCATCATTCTTATATTAAAGATCGTGTAGCAAAGAAACTTCGATATGAACCAGTCGGAAAGCGTACGATGGTCCACTTATTATTTGGAGGAGAGCAGACTCGGCCACAAGAGCACCAATGTTACAACGTACACTTACGTAGTTTGGATGGATCGTACAATTGTAAATTCTTAGTCTATCAACAAGATACTATCTGCCAGAGCATCTCAACAGTGTCTAGAGGGCCTTGGATAAATGAATTAAAAGAGAAATCTGCAACATTATCAGATTTTGGACATGAAAAGCTTCCCATTTCTGTTTTGATAGGTGCCGATATTGTGGGCAAACTATATACTGGCAGAATTCTTAATCTCAAATGCGGAGTCACTGCTGTAAAAACACGTTTAGGATGGACATTATTGGGTCAAACTCCACAATTTAAGAAGCAAAATCCAGGCACGGCATTAACTGTTTTATCACTATACACGCAAGAAGCAGATTTGATTGAATTGTGGAATCTTGATATCATTGGCATAGAAGATCTTATTCTGAAATTGACGATGGAAGAACACTTACAGGAAGTTCTAAATAGATTCCGGGACACGATTAGCACTGATAAAACCGGAAGATATGAAGTGTCTTTACCTTGGAAAAAAGATCATCCACTTCTCTGCGACAATCGAGAAATTGCCGAAAGGAGGTTAGGAAATACTTTGGCAAAACTTAATAAAGATGGTCTACGCTATGCGTATGAAAAGGTGTTCGACGAATGGCTTCAAGAAGGCATAATTGAGCAGGTCCTTACAGAAGAGACGAATTTTGGATACTATCGACCGCGTACGTCGTTAAAGAAAATAGCACGACACGTATAAGGCCAGTTTTTGATATCTCAGCTACAGGAAAGGATAAACCTTCGCTAAATCAGTGTCTGGAAGCAGGTCCCAATTTCATTGAGCTAATAACTACATTAATTTTTTGTTTTCGTGAGAATCAGTTTGGAGCGATCGCGGACATAAGGAAGGCCTTTCTACAGATTAGTATAGCTACAGAAGAACGTAATTACTTGAGATTTCTTTGGCAAAGAACTTCAGATAATAGACTGGAGACTTATCGTCACTGTCGGGTGGTCTTTGGAGTTACTAGTAGCCCTTTTCTATTGGGAGCTACTATCGACTATCATTTGGAGCAAGCAATGGAGAAGGCTCTAAACGAAAATGAAAGATCGATAATTGAGAAGCTGAGAAAGTCGTTTTACGTGAACAATTGCGTTGCCAGCGTCGAAACAGAAGAAGAAATGAATAAATTCAGAGCAGTCGCAACTTCTGTTATGAACAACGGAGGCTTTGATCTACGTGGATGGGAATTTTCGGAAAAATGTGATCTTCTCGCAGAAACTTCAGTGCTCAGATTAACATGGAACAAACAAGAAGATGTTCTAATGCTCTCGCGAGTAACTTCATGGAAAATTCCTGAGAAAATTACGCAAAGAGAAATATTATCTTTCGCACAAAGGATTTATGATCCGTTAGGTTTCGTTTGCCCCGTTACACTTCATCCCAAGTTGCTTTTGAGAAAGTTGCAGGAAAATCTTGGTTGGGACGGAAGTTGAGACCAACGTAAAGGAGACGTTTCTTCAATGATCACAAGAATTACAGAAGTCGAATCAGGTTAAAATCCCACGTTGGCTTTCAGGTACTAACAGATCCGCGATATCATTGCATCTCTTCGTAGATGCAAGTCAAGACGCATACGCTGCAGTGATATTTTGTAGAGTGGAGACCAAAGACAAAGAAGACGTAAATTTTGTACAAGCCAAGGCTCGGGTAGCACCAAAGAAGCAAATTACAATACCAAGGCTGGAATTATTGGCAGCTATGATTGGAACGAGGCTTATGAGATCTACACTAGCAGCACTAAACAGTCAACAGATTGAAACAGATTGATTTTATTGGACTGATTTCTCTGCTGTACTGGCATGGATTCAAAGGAAAACACAATGGGCCACATTTTAATGGAACCAAATTACAGAAATACGCAAGTTGAGCAACCCGGATTCTTGGAAGCATGTTCCGGGGAACATGAATCCTACGGACCTACCATCAAGAGGCAGTACTGTCAAGCATCTTCTAGATTCCAAATGGTGGGAGGGTCCTCAATGGCTCCGACTTTCACAAGCAGAATGGCCTAGTACAACATTCTTAGCAGATGAAAATCTAGTAGCTAGCGAGATAAAGAAGACTGCTGTAAATAAAAGAAAGATTATAGAAGATACATCGTCACTCGCCAATACAACGCAAGATACAAGCGGACAATCAGAAATACTTAAACGCTTATCGACTTTATCTAATTATTTGCGAATAATTTGTGTATTAGCTTGGATGCGAAGATTCATTAGCAACTGTCGAAGTAAGAAGATCCATCGCGTCAAAACATACTTGAAAGTAAAGGAAGTCAACAAGGCTGAATTGATTATGTTTAAGTTAGCGCAAAAGGAAAGTTTTTCTGGAAGTAATGACCCGAAGTTAAGTACCATGAGAGTATACGAGGATGATTTGGGTCTCTGGAGAATAAAAAGCTTTATTTCTAATAGAATAGATACATATGATTTCCGCTACCCCATCGTTTTGGACTCTCGACATTCTATTATTGTAAAATTAATAGAACACACACATCGGAAGTTAAATCACGCTCAAGCAGATATTATAATCAACAATTTACGAGAACGATTCTGGATCTTGGAATGTAGGAGAACCGTCACTTCCATAATACGAAGATGTGTCATTTGCAAACGGATAACGGTACATTCACGATTCATATGCAAAGAAGATAGAACCGTTGCCTGCTGTATTACCACACAACCGTGTTAAGGATTCAGCTGTATTTGAGGTCACGGGAATGAATTATGCAGGTCCCCTATTTCTAAGAGACGGCAGTAAAGCTTGGATTTGTCTCTTCACTTGTGCCGTCTATAGGGCCATCCATTTGGAATTAGTCACTTCGTTTTCGACTCATTCGTTCTTAGAAGCTCTCCGTAGGTTCGTCGCGAGACGAGGGAGACTCTCCATCATCTATACGGATAACGGTACTAATTTCACTGGGGCAAGCAAGAGCCTTCGGAAAATCAATTGGAAAAAAGTCGAAGATTATGGAATAGCCGAGAAAATACAGTGGATTTCTAATCTGGCGGCTTGGTTGGGAGGCTGGTGGGAGAGGCTGGTACGATCAGTCAAAGAATTATTGAGAAAGATACTAGGACTTCCCTAACCTATGAAAAACTCACTACAATGCTATGCGACTGTGAGGCCGTCATAAACTCCAGACCGATCAGTATTTAGCCAAAGATACCCTTCAATTAATCCCGTTGTCGCAGTCTCTATTTTTATTAGACTTCAAGAGTAATGGAGTACTCGATATTGATACGATAGCCACCAATGAACAACTTAACAAAAGAATAAGATATCGGCAGAAGCTACGAGAGCATTTACGTAGGAGATTCCGGATAGAGTACCTTGGACAGCTATCACGAAGAAACAGTCAAACGGAGCAAACATAATGTCGAGATTGGAGATATCGTTTTCATTGAAAGCGATCATTTGAAAACGTCTGGAATGGCCGTTAGGTAAAGTCATGCAAGTCTTTCCCAGCAAAGACGGACAGCTACGTGTCGTTAAACTTAAAACGGCAACTGGTGAACTTGTACGGCCTGTGCAAAAATTGTATCCTTTAGAGTTCTTTTCGAAAATGAATCCAGAGACTCAAGCTAATTTTTTAGACTCATACCGTTCAAAGCAACTGGAGGATAAGAGGAATGTCCGAGTGGAGCCTTCCGCAGCCCCTGTACTGAAGGAAGAAGTCAAGACTCGCAGTGGAAGAAGAGTAAAAACACCAGCAAGATTTCAAAGCTCATAACTGGTCATTGAGTTGTTAACGCTATTAACAACTCAAGGTGGGAGGATGTAGACGAAGTTCGAAATTACTATCGTAGGTGGCAGCAGATTAGACCAGGGATTTTCGGAAGACAAGCGATTTCATTTTTAATTACCAATGTATTACTACGCCGAGTGCTCACTTTGTTACTAGCCCGTCTAGAGTTTCGGTGCTTCCTCTGTGCTTAACGTCTTTCAACATATTTGTACGACTTTATATATATTTTCCACGTTTTTGGTTTCATATAATAAATAGTCTTGATATAATTGAGCTACGAGTGTCGTTGGAGATCCTGATTCTGTCCCTCCCGAACTACAAGTAACAAGGATAATATATAGAAATATGAAAAAAGATGTATATGTTACGTTGCAATTATTATATATCATTGATATATATCTGATACATAAATGATACATTCAAAGTTGCTGACAGAGCCGTACCTGTACGTTACATGTACCTGTACAAATAATATTATATGTAATATTTATGAGACTTATGTAATATTACATATACATTTAACAAGGGAAGTTAGGGAACCCGAAACTTTAGAAAAATCTGAAACTTTGTGTAAAAGTAGAGCAGTTCATCCGTAGTACGAAACTATTTTTCGTTGGTGCTTTATTCCATTTTGAAGGGATGAAATCATCTCTTTAAAAAATCGGTTTTTTTCTTCCGACGTGAATACCGTCGAAACTATGAGAGATAGAAAACAATGTTCTAGATCAAAGTTGAATGGCTTGAAGTGTGCTTTATGATAGTAATAAAACAAATTTTTTTTTAATTTTTGTTAACGTTTCCCCCACCACTTCAAATTTTTTAAAATTTTATTTATGAGCAAATTAAAGATTATTTTATTACGAATTCAACCATATGTGATAAAGTTATTTTCCAAAGTATAATTTTCGAGAAATAATTACAAACGCCTGTATACGCACACCATCTGTATTCGTTTACGCTGCGCACACGCAGCAATTCTTCACACAGCACGTTCTGATCGCATTTTTGCATTTAAGAAGAGATAACGATGAAAGCAAATCTATTTTCGCAATATTCTGCGGGTGTATAACTACGAATCGTTTTTATCGCGCATGGTTAGACAACGCTTACAAAGTAAAATTTGAATGTCGTAGAATGTCAAATTTATCTTATCAGATAATATTTGGAAAGCATTTGAATACGCATTTGAATATGAATTAGTTTCAAGACTGAAATAGTGAAAGATGCATACACGCAGTCAATTATTCCTATTTTTAATGTAGTATCGTATAAGTAGGAATACATGTCGTGCAATATTCATTGATAAATTAAATTTTGTGCGATATGGAAGTTTTTGCAGGTTTTATATATATAAAACGAGAACGCAGAAAGGAAAAAAGGTGAAAAACGGAAAAAAGACTAAACAAAACCTTCACTATTCACATTATCTAATTATACGATACATAATATGAAGTGAATCTTTACAACTTATAGCATAAATAAAACAGTAAAACAACAAAATTGTGTTAATATAGATCGGAAGAGCACACGT